GGAAACACATGTTTTAAAAAATAGTAGTGCTATAGTTAATTTTTTCTATCATTGTTGCAGTTGACTGAGAAGACTTTCAAGGAACTACCTCATAGTACTCGAATTCTGAGATTCACAGTGCCTTTCCCCATGTTGGCTTATCCTCTCTATCTGGTAAGAATACATATGAAGTTCCAATTACTTTGATCGTTTATGGCTGGTAAGACATTAATTTTTGTTCATGTTTGGTGTTTACAAAAACAGTGGTATAGAAGTCCAGGGAAGGAAGGGTCTCATTTCAACCCCTATAGCAACTTGTTCACAGCAAATGAGAGAAAATTAGTGGTGACTTCAACTGTGTGTTGGACTATAATGGCTGTTTTTCTGCTCTATTTAACCTTTGTAGTAGGCCCTGTCCAAATGCTTAAGATTTATGGCGTTCCTTACTTGGTATGTCTATAATGCTTTCCTAATCTGGTGAAATTTATAGATTCTTCATCTAAGATGTTAATTTTCTGATAGCATGTGTTTCTGTTTGCAGATTTTTGTAATGTGGTTAGACTTTGTTACTTATTTGCATCACCACGGTCACGATGAGCACAAACTTCCTTGGTACCGTGGCAAGGTATTAACACTCTTTAGCTCAGCATGAGTTTGGTTTCTGCAATTCAAAGTGCTTAAACATCTCATTTCAGAACAAAACTGAATAAATCTGCTTTTGACAGGAATGGAGTTATTTGAGAGGAGGGCTTACAACAGTGGATAGAGATTATGGATTGTTCAATAATATCCACCATGACATTGGCACTCATGTCATCCATCACCTCTTCCCCCAAATTCCACACTATCACTTAATAGAAGCGGTACCATCTCTATATCATTAAATGATGGTTTGATTACTGATATTTATCTCTACTTATCTGAATATTTTGATGCAGACAAAGGCAGCAAAACCAGTACTGGGAAAGTATTATCGGGAGCCAAAGAAATCTGGCCCCATTCCATTCCACTTGATAGAAAATCTAATCAGAAGCTTGAAGCAAGACCACTTTGTAAGCGACACCGGGGAAATTTTATACTATCAGACTGATCTTAGTCTGCACAAAAGTTTTATTAGCAAGTTGGATTGATATTTTAGAGCTCTGTCTAGTTAAATAAACAGGGGATTCAATAAAATCTCTCATTGGAAAGGAAGAATTCCAAATGGAAGTTGAATTCTAATATGCATTAATTGAAAACTTTGCTTGTCAAACTTTTGCCGCTATCTCTTTCAAATATTGGGTGCTAAAAATGAATATTGCTTCACATGCTACGTTTTGAATTTAATACCAAAAACCATTATGGTCTAGCCAACATATATGTCAAACCCACAAGCTTACATTTTTCATGTTATTACCTCAATTTACTGCCAAATCATCAATGAAAGGAAACACTTAAAGAAAATACATTTATTATTACCAATACACATCATCAATGAGAACACTTCAAGAATACTTTTTCATGTTATTAACTCAATTTACATCCAAAATCATGAAGAAGGAAACCTTCAAGAAAATACAGTATATTCAAATATATCATTTTATTATTTGTCCAGATGCCTGGGATGGTTAAGACGAATTCCCTATGCGCCTTCACATTTAAGTGGGTGGCCATGACGGTGATTACTGGCTAGTCTCATCTGAGATTAGTTAAATACACTAACTTGGCTTCAACACCTAACTAAAAATGTTTATATAATAGAAAAGTATAAATAAATATTAACATCACTCATCACTTCATCAATTTTCAATTTTTTATTATTATTTAGTTTCACTCTCTTTAAATTACTTTATATGATAAATAAATAGAGTTATTCTCTACAAAACGTTCTGATATTAATTTGTCTACATAGATTATATTATCTCAAATTACTATGATATTTTTATTGGCGTGACGGAAATGTGAGCTAAGCAATAATGATAAGAGGAATTGATGTGGGTGATAATGGTAGTGGTATAAAGAGACACACGATATCAAAGATACTGCATGCATCTGATTTTTTTCAACCTTCCTGTATAAAACATCTTTCCATTTCCATACCTCAATTTTTCAATTCATATATATCACCTTAAACTTTTCGCACAATATAGACTCATAATACAACTTTAACGTTGGAGATTAGTTGAAGTGTGGTAAACTATTCAAACCCTTGTCATTAAAAAAAAGAACACTTTAATCCTTTATTCCTGCAATGAAGCTAGTTAATTTTAGAATTGCTTTTCGTGTTTGAATTGAGCATACTTATGAACATAGAGACTAATACGAAACCAAGATAACAGTAAACCACTCAACATAAAGAAAAGTAATACGCGATTTACTGGTTCATCCAATTAAAAATACATCAGTAGAGTTAATATTATTTCAATATTGTCTCACCTATCTCGTTTACAATAAATGAATTGTTTCTATTGCTTGTGGAAGGAAGAATTCCAAAATGGAAGTTGAATTCTAATATGCATCAGTTGAATTCTACTGTAAGTACTGGGCTGAGCGTGGTTAGAAACTAGGTTTATTTCCACTTTGTTTTATGTATCGGATTTATAGTGTCGTGTACTCTTGTATATCGTGTTCATAAAACTATAGTGAATTTCTCTCATCCGTGGATGTAGGTAGGTTATGCCGAACCATGTAAATATTATGTTTCTTTGTGTGGTGTAATTTTATTCTTTTGTTATTTATCTCGAATGTATGTTTTTCGCTGCGCGATCTCCTAACGAAAAGACAATATTAATGTGAGAAAAATTTGTGTTTTGGTACTATGTAAACTGTTGTCGGGGATGCATTTAAAGGAAATAATTGGGTTATTTTATTGGTAACCTACCAAAAATTATAGCCTCCACAATTAGTTGAGAACTTAATTAATTTGACATGCATTAATCCAATTTTTTGTGCATTATATGGTTCTTTCTTCTTAAACCATGATAGAACAAGACCCTCACAAAACCATCATTGAGTGGTCCGATGGTAAAAGAGCAAAAGAGGATTTAATATGGTCTCCCAATGTTGAATTCTCTTGACAGCAAAAGAGCAAGAAAATAATCTAATATGATCTCCCGCGTTCGAGTCCCCACAGCTGCTATACACATGTCTTACATAATAATATTAAACCCAACTAACTTTTCTCTTAATAAATTATAATAAAAAAATATCACATCTATTAGAAGTTGTATTTGTCGCACATCACAAATTTGGTAGGTTATTATGATGTATATATGTGATTGAACTCATTCTTTCCTTAAGCTAACTTTTGGGGGTGAGTTCTACCCAAACTCGTTTTATATGAGAAATTAAGAATTAATGCCTTAAAATCTATAATTTGGAAGATGGAGTAATCTTGATAAAGAAGGCAATAAGATCCAANAGGGGGTTTAAAATTTAAATATCAATGCTTTGAGGTTCCATTATTTAAATACACTAGAAATGGAGTTGAGGGCAAAACCAATGGGACTTTTTTTTTTTTTTTTTCCATGTGCAAGCTCATTTCTAGCCTGCAAAAAGTTTTTCAACCATGGGTTTCCAATCATATAGGGTAGTTATTAAACTGAAGCCCAACGGTAACGGTGAACCAAGGGGACTGTAAATGGTACAACTCACAATCCCAAGTTCGATTCTCCCGTTGGATACAAAGATAGCATATTTGCCCATGTTTTACCTAGAGGCCCATGGCAGTGGGTTGTTGTGTGATAGCTCCCCCTAAGGATGAGTACTGGTGTGCGTAAGCAAGCTCAGACTGGTAAGTTATTAAAAAAAAAAAAAGCTTTAAAATGTTGTGAATTATTCAAAATTTCGGTCCAATAATAGTTCATTTCACTTACTAATATGCTATACTACCCATCATGATGTGAAGTCTTTGCCGAGTGTATTAATATTTGGTGACTTGAGATGCATATAAAGTATTGCCAATCAATGGTCATCATTTGATTCATTTCTATAACCGAAGTTCTAAATGTCTTTTCTTCTCGCAGGTAAGGTGAGATTTTTAGGGTAGACTTGGTAAACGATAAATGATATATTTTCGGATAGGATTCATATAACTTCAAATCTCTTCACTTGGAAATTTTCATGGATGAGGAAACTACTCATATACAAAGGGTAATGCAAGCCAGGAAATATATTGTAATATATATATATATGTATATATAAAGAACATGAAACATACCGAAAGTGGTAATGGTGATAACATGAATTGATGAGAGTGACAACAAAACATCTACAAAGAGAAACGAATCAACTTAACATTCAAGGGACAGAAGCTTTTGTCATTTCTATATAAATCTTCTGGTAAACATCTGTTTCANCTTTAAAATGTTGTGAATTATTCAAAATTTCGGTCCAATAATAGTTCATTTCACTTACTAATATGCTATACTACCCATCATGATGTGAAGTCTTTGCCGAGTGTATTAATATTTGGTGACTTGAGATGCATATAAAGTATTGCCAATCAATGGTCATCATTTGATTCATTTCTATAACCGAAGTTCTAAATGTCTTTTCTTCTCGCAGGTAAGGTGAGATTTTTAGGGTAGACTTGGTAAACGATAAATGATATATTTTCGGATAGGATTCATATAACTTCAAATCGCTTCACTTGGAAATTTTCATGGATGAGGAAACTACTCATATACAAAGGGTAATGCAAGCCAGGAAATATATTGTAATATATGTATATATAAAGAACATGAAACATACAGAAAGTGGTAATGGTCGTTCTTTTGATAACATGAATTGATGAGAGTGACAACAAAACATCTACAAAGAGAAACGAATCAACTTAACATTCAAGGGAAAGAAGCTTTTGTCATTTCTATATAAATCTTCTGGTAAACATCTGTTTCATAACTCAATTTATGTATCTAATTTTTTATTTGATTATGACTCATATCAAAGGGATCATGACGTCTCACAATATGAATCCTTCTTTCCTTGTTAAAGATCACACTAACGAAAGCTATAGCTAGACAGCCAACCTCCTGCCAGAAATGAAGGAACCATTTCTTGATCCAATGGAGAAACAACGAAAGTTCATTAATGATCGAGATGGTTTCGACCTCAGTGCCCCTCCTTCATTCAAAATAAACGAGATTCGAGCTGCCATTCCTCAGCATTGTTGGGTGAAGAGCACATGGAGATCTCTCAGCTACGTTTTAAGAGACATGCTTGTTATTTTTACGCTCATAGCAGCTTCCACCCACTTAAACAATTCGTTTTTCTGGCCGCTTTACTGGACTGCTCAGGGTACCATGTTCTGGGCGATATTCGTGCTCGGACATGATTGGTACCACACCTTAACTTGTTATCTTTTATCTCTTTTGATGCATATTCTTAATTTCGTGTACATTTTGATTGTGAAGTGGGCATGGAAGTTTCTCAGATAATTCTAAGCTCAACAGCTTGGTCGGACATGTCCTGCATTCTTCAATCCTTGTGCCTTACCACGGATGGTTTGTGTTCTGTTTTGTTATCTCTTCTGGAACTTGTTTACTTGGCAGACTCATTTATTCATTGAATCTTGCAGGAGAATTAGTCATCGGACTCATCATCAGAACCATGGAAACATTGAAAAAGATGAGTCTTGGGTTCCGGTATAGAAAAGTCTATAAATTTCTTTGATGGGAACAAATATATGTTAAATTATGGTGGTGTTGTTTATCAGTTCTCTTATTCTGCCAGTTGACTGAAAAGATTTTCAAGGAACTGCCTCCCAAATCTCGAATATTGAGATTTACTGTGCCTTTCCCAATGTTGGCTTACCCTCTTTACTTGGTGATCATATATATACACCAACTATGGTTTAGATATTAAATATAAAGTTCAATTGTTTTGACCCTTTATGGATGGTAATGTACTAATTCTGATTCATGTTTTCTGGGTTACAAAACAGTGGTTCAGAACTCCAGGAAAGGAAGGATCCCATTTCAACCCCAATAGCAGCTTATTCAAAGCAGATGAGAGGAAATTAGTGGTGACTTCAACTCTCTGTTGGACTCTAATGGTTGTTTTGCTAGCCTACTTATCCTTTGTAGTAGGTCCTGTCCAAATGCTTAAGATTTATGGTGTTCCTTACTTGGTATGGCTACAATGTTTCCAAATTTGGTGAATTTTTTTTTAAATTCTTCGTATATGATCTTAATTTCTGATAGTAATATAATCTCCATGTTTTACCTTTTGCAGATTTTCGTAATGTGGGTGGACTTTGTAACATACTTGCATCACCATGGTCATGATGAACACAAACTTCCTTGGTACCGTGGAAAGGTACTAGCATTAATTTGGTTGCTGTAATTAAAAGTAATATCTCATTTCTGCAATTTTTGACAGGAATGGAGTTATTTAAGGGGAGGGCTTACAACAGTTGATAGAGATTATGGAATGTTCAATAATATCCACCATGACATTGGCACTCATGTTATACATCATCTCTTCCCTCAAATCCCACACTATCACTTAGTAGAAGCGGTATCATCTCTACTCAATTGAAGAACTTATTTTTTATATATCTGCAAATATAATGTATATATAGTATAATATAATTCAAGTGACTCCCTCTCTTTATAATGATTTTGATGCAGACAAAGGCAGCAAAGCCAGTTCTGGGAAAGTACTATCGTGAGCCGAAGAAATCTGGACCCATTCCATTCCACTTGATGAAGAGTTTAGCGAGAAGCCTGAGCCAAGACCACTTTGTAAGTGACACTGGGGAAATTGTGTATTATGAAACTGAGCCTAATCTGTATAAAAATTCCGCTGGCAAGTTGAACTGATATTTTTTAGAGCTTAGTCTAGCAAAACAATCGGGGATATATCTAACCTACCATTTGGTTCAATAATCTCAGTTTTGAAGTTTACATTGTAGCAAATCTTTCACCTCTTTAGTCTTTATCATCAATTCATTTAGCCCATATATTCTCTTCATTATAATCATCTGTGTAAGTGATGAACTGATGTGAGTGAGTTTGATTTTGTTAGAAGAATGATAATATTTTCATTATTAATTATCATTCGAATTTACATCCCTTAGACACAACTAAGTGACCTCCATGAGTTCTTCACTTCGCAATGCTCAGGAATGGCAGCTTCGATCTGTTTATACTGAATGGAGGAGGTGCACTTGGGTCGAAACCATCTTCATTACTGAAACTTTTTTCCTTTTTATCCATCTTTTTCTCCGTTGAATCAAGAAATAGGTCCTGCGCAATATTTCAGGAAGGTCTGCGCTCTGTAATGTACCAAGCCATCGAAATCGTGCATTGGTTGCATCAATCAAAAGGCATGAGTACAATACAAACTGCCCTTGTTGAGCATTGGTAGAGAATGAAGAACCAATGGAAGTGCGTGAGTTATGTAGTTTTAAAAGATGTGTTTGTGGGTTTCGCATTGATGGCAACTGCACTGCACTTCTTCAGTTGGTTCTTCTAGTCACTTTTCTCACTGGCTCAAGGTTAGCCATTTTTGTTTTGGGACACATATAATTCAATTATGTCCAAGAACAGAACATGGCTTCAGCTTGGGTCATGTTTACTGGCATGTACGTGATTTCATGCTTGTTAATGGAGGTAGTTGCGCACTCAACTCAACTAGGTATAGAATTTAAGATGGGCTTGACTCTTCACCTAATAAAACCTTATTGAATGGGAGGGTTACCCCTTTTATAAACCAATCTAAACCAGTAGACTTTTATGTGCGGACTCATCTTCACCCACCAACACATGATGGCAGCTTTGGCTGAAACCATCTTCAACTTTCTTTCTTTCTCCATTGAATCAAGAAGTGATTCCTGCATTTATATAAGGAAGTTGGTTGGTTGGTTGGGTAGCTAGCTGTTTTACTGGTGCATTAACTCTATAGTATAACAGGAGCAATTAAAGAAGATCTGACGTTGAAACGAGATATGCCCATTAATAAATGAAAGAAATGTTTATCGTGAGAGATGGCAAGCAAACAGTCGATTCTCTAGAAAGACAGACGATTCCATTCTCTTTGTAGAGAATGTATACCCTCTACCCTCTGTATATAACCACAACCATTATATTATTAATTACTATTTCAGATTGCCTTCAATACTCTTTCACACTGAGAAATAAATAGTGTTCTCTTTGTTGAAAAGAGATGCTATCTTACCTCTCTGTATATGACTTAACCTGGTCCTCTTGAAGATCTCAATCAAAGTCTATCAATCTCACCAAAAAAAAAATAATAATAATAAATAACAACTACAACAAAATTCGAAGGTCATAAGATAGCTATGGAAACCACACATAAACTATTATTGTGGATCGACCCAATAGGAAGGAGAGCTTTTACGCTTAAGTATATTGACATTGACCTGATTGTAGCCCTTTTTCCCATTCGGGTGGCTTCACTCATCTATCAATTATTCGATGCAATACCCTCTTCTAAGAAAAACACACTGCACCTAAATCTAGTCTATAAATAGCACTTTCTGCCCAACCCAAAAGACTCGCCTGATAGACGAGAGAGTCCTTAGTCTTAAGTATCATACTTGGTGGGTGTGAGATGTCGATATGAGATCTTAACCAAGGTTTTAAAACTCGACTCGGGGAGCAACCCGTCCAAGCCACCGGGTCACGGGTTTTACGGGTCGAAATGTTCGATTGGCGGGTCGGACCATGACATCATCATGCTGATGTCAGTATGACATTAGCAAAAAAACAAAACAAAAAATGCAGATTTTAAATTTTAATGGTTTTTTTTTTTCTTCTCTGCTAGTGTTGGTTTTGTCGAATAAAAATGGGGAAGGGAGAAGAGAAAAGCTTAAAAGGGTTACTTTTAATTTTACCCTTTTTAATATTTTACTGTAGCTACCCAGGTTATACCGGTTGGATCGGTGGTTAGTTAGAAAAAAAACCGGTTCAATTGCGAATGGAAGCAGGTCAATTACTATTTCTAATTTTTAACATGAATCGATCTGGTCTAGCCACCGGTTCCTGATCAAACCAGTTCAACCGGCCAGGCTAGGCCGGGTTTTAAAACCGTGATCTTAACGATTACCGTCTTCCATATGTAACTGCAATCATGTGGCAATGGATCCTTTTGCACACTCACTAAAGCCCATGGATTGTTGAACTTTCTGCAGGCCATATTGAGTCCACAGAAACTGATTGAAACAAAGGCCCAGTAGTTTTGCACCCATTTTCAATATATGAAATTGTCAAATTTAGTAGGCAGTTCAAGTGTTCAACATCCCTGGATAACAATGTTTCAGGGGCAAGTCACATCAATTTATAGGCATTAAACGAAAATGGAACCAACCAAAAAAGTAGATGGAAAGCAAAAGGAACAGAGTTGGTCGGAAGAGTTGGTCTAACATTAGTCATTTAGTGATGCAGAGTTAAAAAAAAACACAAACAAAAAAAAAAAAAAAAAAAGGTAAAGTTGGTTTGAAAGAAACAGAAACACAATGTAAGAAAGTCAGCATCTTCGGCTCCAAACCCAAAAGAATTTCTTTTCTACTGCCCCCCCTGCACCAATTCCAATAACTCTTCTTCTTTTCTCTTTTTCTGTCTTTTTTGTTTTTTCAAAGTTGTATTTTCTAGATAAGGATGAGATAACTACTGTAAATCCCCCAAAGTATGCCCAGACTTAAACCCCCCTTTGAGGGTATGTTATAACCGATAATAAAGGGTTTTGCATCATTAGTGTCATCTAAATTATTACTGGATGATAAAAGAGCAAAAGGGTATAATATGAGTTCTTGAATTCAAGTTTTATCAGATTGTTCAGGATATCCAGAATAGGTATCAAAGTGTAACATGAAAATAATGAGCACAAAATCCAAGGCCAATCTGCTTTTATGTATAGTTAGAAAAAGATGCTCAAATGAAACAAACCTCTGTCCTTCTTCCTGTGGGCGCGCTGTGAGAGTGTTAAAACAGTTTTAACCCATGAAATTGCAGAATTGACCTGTCAACGCGCGTGAAAATACTGCAAATTTCCTCTATTCAATCTGCCAACCACACACAGACACAGCATTCAAATCCAAAGCCCGCCATTTGCTCTTTGGTCTTTTACTTTCTTCCACAAACCAACATTCAAATCAACTTTGTCTTTTACTTTTTTCTTGTTAAAGTTGTATTCTTTCAGCAAAGTAAGATTAAAATCCCAACAAAAAGAAAAGAAAAGAAAACTACTGTTTTCAAAGTGGGTTTTTGATATTTCTTTTGTTTTGTTTACTCGTAATAATAATAATAATGTCTTTTCTTTCTTTCAACCTGAAGTTGAAGTTGTTATCATATAATTCTTCTTCTATGTCATCATCTTCTTCTGCGTCTTTTGATCCCAATAATAATAATAGTAATAACATTTCCGCTTCAAAAAGCGCCACAACTCCTGGTTGTCTAGCTGCCATTTTACGTAGAATTCTTTGCTCTAAGACTCTCCCTTCTGATCAAATCACTAACACTGACACTCAGGTTGGTTCTATTTTATGTGAAAAGGACCTAGAATGGAAGTCTGAAGACAAGGCTATGCCCAGTCTTGTTGCAAGATTAATGGGTTTGGAAGGCGTTCCTAATTCGAGTACTGGTAAAATATCTCGAAGTCGATCAATGAATTCATTGGATTTTGAGGCAAGTAGTGGTCAGACGGAAGGTGATGATAATAAGCATAGAAGAGTAAAGAGTAGTACATTGTCGATTCAAGAGATGCCGACTTTTTTTGAGGTAGAAAATGAAGAATTCTTTGTTCTCAGCTTTGGTAATAGAAATGAAGATGAAGAAAAAAGGACAAGAAGGAAGAAATGTGAGATGGGTCGTGGAGAATTGAAGCAGAGAAGAGGAGACAGATGTCGAAACAAGGAGCAGGGAGTCTTTAATAAGCCTGAAAATCCATGTGTTGGCTCAGAAATTATGGAGTTTTCAACACCTATAAAGAACAATGAAGTATATGAAGGAGCAAAATTAAGGAGAAGAAGGAAGAAGAAGAAGAAGAAAGTTCAAAGTATTGAACTTGAGTCCAATTCAGAAGATTCAAGCCCAGTTTCTGTTCTTGATTTTGATCAATTCATTATGTCAGGTATAGTGTGTTTTGCTTTTAGTTCAATTTTTATATTTAATTCTTATAACAATTTCGAAATGTATTTCTCACTTTGGTTTGGCCAATCACATTGTGAACAGAGTTGGATTGTTCAAACTTGGTGGAGTCAAATTCAAGAAGAAAATTATCACCAGAGCCTGATCAAAACTACGACTGCCAATCTCCAAGAAACGACAATAATTTGATGATCCTTGATGTTCCAAAGCCAAAGAAATCTGAAGGCAAATGTGTTGGATCAAGAAAGAGATATATCCGTAGTCACAATTACTTCAACATTTGTGATCAAATTTACAAGATGACAGATGGTGAGGTAGCTGAATCAAATTGGTTACACAGAAAGAACATGATGAGGCATGAAGATTTTGAAGAAATTTCTGCAGATTTAGGGTCACAAATCCTTGATCAATCACTAGATGAGCTGGTTCATCAACTTATTGGACTTGCCATGTAATGTAGACTTAATACATGTAAGATTCTGTAAATTTTGATATTAAACTAAAGGAACAACTTCTTAAACCCTTTTTCAGAATTTCAATTCATTCTTGTTCAACAGTAATACCCCACCTGCAGAATTCAAATTTGAACATGGTGGGCTACAAGTTTTCACACCTTTGAAGAATTTTCAATCACATTATCATATCTTAGACCTTGTTTTATATTAAATTATGGATGAGTAATGATTGATTAGCAAATTTTTAAGTGCCAGGAATGTTGAAATTGACATCATGAGCAGTCTTGAGCAGCCAAACTTTACCTTCTAGTAGTGGCTTTGTTTGAACATGACATTGTTTTTCTCTTTTTCGATGAACAAATGACCTCTTGTTTTTTGTCCTTATCTTTTATATCCCAACATTTCAATTAAAATATTAAGTCAAGCTAGACTACGCCAAATTCTGAGCTGAATTTGAGGTGTGTGGGGGAATATTTTTGAAACGGCAAACTTGGAAGAATGTTACGTATTCTATACGCAGTGAGGTTAAATATTGTCAATGGTGTCATCATCTGTTCTGTTTATTTAATTCTGCATTGATGAAGCCGGCAGCAGTCAAAAGCACCCTGATGAAGATGAATTCGTTTTCAGTTTTAGGAAACACGGGATTAATATTTTAATTTCTGCATCACCATTAGATAAGTGGTAGTTTAAGAACCAAAACATTGGTCATCTTCAGCTAAATGATAGCATTACCATCTTTTCTTCTGGTAGTGCTTATGCCACTAAATACACAAAATAAGTTTAAACATCCGCAGGGATGCCGGCCTTTTTCTTAGTGCTCAACAATCTACCCAATTGAGAATCATGGAATCAATGAACCTCACCCTCAACTTTATGAATGCCCAAAGTAATATGCAGGATGAATTAGAAAAGGCGATAACAGGATGAGAGTGAAAAAAAGAAAAAGATGTGACAGAAGCATATTCGAAGTTCCATTAAATCTGATATATGTGCAGAATGTTGAGCTTTGAAGCCCAGGTGCTGATGCTAAAGAATGCAGAAGCAAATCTGTAAACAAATAAATGATCAACACTGAAAGAAAAGATAAAGATATTACTCAATAATATGCTAAGATTTTATTAGGTGCGTAATTAATTTTACAAGTTGAGGTAGATACATATTCAAAAATAAACCAATAAATCAGTATGTCTTTTTATCTTCCATCTGTAAATTGAAATAATTGAATCCAGGCAGTTTGAACTAATCTGCTTCTCTACTCCCATCAGCAGGAGATTGTGCTTCCCACATCTTCCATTTTGGGATGACTATGAGAACAGCTAAAAAGAGAACCAAAATAAAGGGGAAAAGAAGTAAACTACTTATTCTTAGATTAGAACCTAAAGAGTGGTAAGAGCAGAAGCTTTAATCCTACTCAACTTCCTTGGTGCATACTTTGATGCTCTCCAAACCCCGTCTCTTTCCACTTACAGATGATGAATATTAATAAAAATTCAAAAAATGGCAAAAAAAAAAACTAGTTAAGTTAAACTTTAGAAAACCAATATTGGGCTTATCAGGACTAAGCCACCATCTGCTCCTGCTCCATATACATTTGCTCCACCCAAGCGGGAAGAATTTCTGAAACTCCAGTGTCAAGATGACACTGCTGCTGCTGATCCTCGAAGCCAAGTTGACCAGATTTCACAGAAGGGGTGTCCTTCACCAAGGACTGAACCCAAGACACGTCTGGCTCGTCAGCAGTTGCTGGCTCTGAGGCCGCAGGGGCGGCCAAATTGCTGCCACCACTTCTAAATCCAAAAGAAGCAGATTTTCGCAGCTTGTTCAGCTCTTCTCCCTGCACACCCCAGTCCAACTTACCATCAGGAGAACCCCAATCGGCCAGGTTAGAAGGCATCAGAGTCGTGGTAGCAGCTGGTGAAGAAAGCCCAGAATGAAGATTCACAGCAGTCCGCTCAATGAAGCTCTGGCTTCGCTTTGAAAAGGCAGCTGACCTTGAACTCAAAACTGCAGCTGCAGTGGCCCCGGCAGGATCAATCCCCAAGGACTGAGACGTCCTTGCAGGAGAGGAAGAGAGATTGGAAGGATAACTAGATCGGAGCTGCTGGTTAATGTTCTGACGCATCTGGATGCCAGGGGGTGACTGCAATTTGGTTGCTTGAGCATCCAATGAGAGTCCTTGTAATTGAGGCAAAATCGTAGGATCGAGAGATCCAAAAATGTCATCAAGGTTAGTTGGTTTCACTCCGCCGAGCCTATTTAATTCTCCAGTTCGATCACCAGAAGAACAAAAGGGTGATGCAGCAGACATGCCATTGCTCCAGCTGGATGGTGATGAGAGACCAGAAATCTCATCAATCAATTGTTGGTGTCGACGTCGATGATTCTCTAGACCAAGCAACTCCATGTCAAAATCCATATCTCTGGCATGAACTGCAGATTTCAGCCTGCTACCAGGAAGCTGCAGTGTAGGTACAGTAGGCTGGGTCTGCCAGATCGATCCACCCATTGGAGAAGAGACCCCAGAGGGCGTCAAGGGTGGGGTAGTCGTAGGTGGCATCACACCTGATGGAGAACCAAGGGCAAGTGGGGTGATAGACACCATGTCCAGGGAAGAACCTTTGGCTGAGAATGATCTGGGAGACGGCACTGCTGAACCCGTTGAGGCATATAAAGGACGAAGCTCTTCACGCTTGTGAGCAAAGAAGCATACTCTCCTGTTGCAATTAGTCTCATCCTTACACAGACGTGTCCGATACTGGGCAGGGTGGAGCCAGCACTCAAAAATACCATGTGCATATTCACAAGCATCACCCTGCCTACAGGAACCCTTTCGGAACTCAGGGCATGGGACACAGCTATAATGATACTTCCTTGGATCACGGCGCCTAGCATTCTCCCCAGGATGAACAAACGGGCACTCTGTCCAATCATGCGAGTAAGCCCTAGAGCAAGGTTTGACCTTGAAAGTATACATCCTAAACTCATCTGTCCCATATATCCCATTCTTGATATCTGGAAGGGTGAGATCAATAGGATATTCTTTCTTCTCAGTTCCATCTTTAGATATTCGGGGTGTCAAAATCTCAGGCTGTTCTTGTACCCCCGTTTCATAAACCACTCCATCACAAAAAACATCTATTTCTACCACACCAACATCGCCTCTCAACAGAGACTCCAATACCTTCTTCCTTGAATGGAAACCCAAAAGACAACCTCTGGCAATCAAGTCAGCAGGCCGGTTTCCATTAGCATCGACAGAGTCAATATCAGCAGAAGCATCACAAGTTCAAAGTATTGAACTTGAGTCCAGTTCAGAAGATTCAAGCCCAGTTTCTGTTCTTGATTTTGATCAATTCATTATGTCAGGTATAGTGTGTTTTGCTTTTAGTTCAATTTTTATATTTAATTCTTATAACAATTTCGAAATGTATTTCTCACTTTGGTTTGGCCAATCACATTGTGAACAGAGTTGGATTGTTCAAACTTGGTGGAGTCAAATTCAAGAAGAAAATTATCACCAGAGCCTGATCAAAACTACGACTGCCAATCTCCAAGAAACGACAATAATTTGATGATCCTTGATGTTCCAAAGCCAAAGAAATCTGAAGGCAAATGTGTTGGATCAAGAAAGAGATATATCCGTAGTCACAATTACTTCAACATTTGTGATCAAATTTACAAGATGACAGATGGTGAGGTAGCTGAATCAAATTGGTTACACAGAAAGAACATGATGAGGCATGAAGATTTTGAAGAAATTTCTGCAGATTTAGGGTCACAAATCCTTGATCAATCACTAGATGAGCTGGTTCATCAACTTATTGGACTTGCCATGTAATGTAGACTTAATACATGTAAGATTCTGTAAATTTTGATATTAAACTAAAGGAACAACTTCTTAAACCCTTTTTCAGAATTTCAATTCATTCTTGTTCAACAGTAATACCCCACCTGCAGAATTCAAATTTGAACATGGTGGGCTACAAGTTTTCACACCTTTGAAGAATTTTCAATCACATTATCATATCTTAGACCTTGTTTTATATTAAATTATGGATGAGTAATGATTGATTAGCAAATTTTTAAGTGCCAGGAATGTTGAAATTGACATCATGAGCAGTCTTGAGCAGCCAAACTTTACCTTCTAGTAGTGGCTTTGTTTGAACATGACATTGTTTTTCTCTTTTTCGATGAACAAATGACCTCTTGTTTTTTGTCCTTATCTTTTATATCCCAACATTTCAATTAAAATATTAAGTCAAGCTAGACTACGCCAAATTCTGAGCTGAATTTGAGGTGTGTGGGGGAATATTTTTGAAACGGCAAACTTGGAAGAATGTTACGTATTCTATACGCAGTGAGGTTAAATATTGTCAATGGTGTCATCATCTGTTCTGTTTATTTAATTCTGCATTGATGAAGCCGGCAGCAGTCAAAAGCACCCTGATGAAGATGAATTCGTTTTCAGTTTTAGGAAACACGGGATTAATATTTTAATTTCTGCATCACCATTAGATAAGTGGTAGTTTAAGAACCAAAACATTGGTCATCTTCAGCTAAATGATAGCATTACCATCTTTTCTTCTGGTAGTGCTTATGCCACTAAATACACAAAATAAGTTTAAACATCCGCAGGGATGCCGGCCTTTTTCTTAGTGCTCAACAATCTACCCAATTGAGAATCATGGAATCAATGAACCTCACCCTCAACTTTATGAATGCCCAAAGTAATATGCAGGATGAATTAGAAAAGGCGATAACAGGATGAGAGTGAAAAAAAGAAAAAGATGTGACAGAAGCATATTCGAAGTTCCATTAAATCTGATATATGTGCAGAATGTTGAGCTTTGAAGCCCAGGTGCTGATGCTAAAGAATGCAGAAGCAAATCTGTAAACAAATAAATGATCAACACTGAAAGAAAAGATAAAGATATTACTCAATAATATGCTAAGATTTTATTAGGTGCGTAATTAATTTTACAAGTTGAGGTAGATACATATTCAAAAATAAACCAATAAATCAGTATGTCTTTTTATCTTCCATCTGTAAATTGAAATAATTGAATCCAGGCAGTTTGAACTAATCTGCTTCTCTACTCCCATCAGCAGGAGATTGTGCTTCCCACATCTTCCATTTTGGGATGACTATGAGAACAGCTAAAAAGAGAACCAAAATAAAGGGGAAAAGAAGTAAACTACTTATTCTTAGATTAGAACCTAAAGAGTGGTAAGAGCAGAAGCTTTAATCCTACTCAACTTCCTTGGTGCATACTTTGATGCTCTCCAAACCCCGTCTCTTTCCACTTACAGATGATGAATATTAATAAAAATTCAAAAAATGGCAAAAAAAAAAACTAGTTAAGTTAAACTTTAGAAAACCAATATTGGGCTTATCAGGACTAAGCCACCATCTGCTCCTGCTCCATATACATTTGCTCCACCCAAGCGGGAAGAATTTCTGAAACTCCAGTGTCAAGATGACACTGCTGCTGCTGATCCTCGAAGCCAAGTTGACCAGATTTCACAGAAGGGGTGTCCTTCACCAAGGACTGAACCCAAGACACGTCTGGCTCGTCAGCAGTTGCTGGCTCTGAGGCCGCAGGGGCGGCCAAATTGCTGCCACCACTTCTAAATCCAAAAGAAGCAGATTTTCGCAGCTTGTTCAGCTCTTCTCCCTGCACACCCCAGTCCAACTTACCATCAGGAGAACCCCAATCGGCCAGGTTAGAAGGCATCAGAGTCGTGGTAGCAGCTGGTGAAGAAAGCCCAGAATGAAGATTCACAGCAGTCCGCTCAATGAAGCTCTGGCTTCGCTTTGAAAAGGCAGCTGACCTTGAACTCAAAACTGCAGCTGCAGTGGCCCCGGCAGGATCAATCCCCAAGGACTGAGACGTCCTTGCAGGAGAGGAAGAGAGATTGGAAGGATAACTAGATCGGAGCTGCTGGTTAATGTTCTGACGCATCTGGATGCCAGGGGGTGACTGCAATTTGGTTGCTTGAGCATCCAATGAGAGTCCTTGTAATTGAGGCAAAATCGTAGGATCGAGAGATCCAAAAATGTCATCAAGGTTAGTTGGTTTCACTCCGCCGAGCCTATTTAATTCTCCAGTTCGATCACCAGAAGAACAAAAGGGTGATGCAGCAGACATGCCATTGCTCCAGCTGGATGGTGATGAGAGACCAGAAATCTCATCAATCAATTGTTGGTGTCGACGTCGATGATTCTCTAGACCAAGCAACTCCATGTCAAAATCCATATCTCTGGCATGAACTGCAGATTTCAGCCTGCTACCAGGAAGCTGCAGTGTAGGTACAGTAGGCTGGGTCTGCCAGATCGATCCACCCATTGGAGAAGAGACCCCAGAGGGCGTCAAGGGTGGGGTAGTCGTAGGTGGCATCACACCTGATGGAGAACCAAGGGCAAGTGGGGTGATAGACACCATGTCCAGGGAAGAACCTTTGGCTGAGAATGATCTGGGAGACGGCACTGCTGAACCCGTTGAGGCATATAAAGGACGAAGCTCTTCACGCTTGTGAGCAAAGAAGCATACTCTCCTGTTGCAATTAGTCTCATCCTTACACAGACGTGTCCGATACTGGGCAGGGTGGAGCCAGCACTCAAAAATACCATGTGCATATTCACAAGCATCACCCTGCCTACAGGAACCCTTTCGGAACTCAGGGCATGGGACACAGCTATAATGATACTTCCTTGGATCACGGCGCCTAGCATTCTCCCCAGGATGAACAAACGGGCACTCTGTCCAATCATGCGAGTAAGCCCTAGAGCAAGGTTTGACCTTGAAAGTATACATCCTAAACTCATCTGTCCCATATATCCCATTCTTGATATCTGGAAGGGTGAGATCAATAGGATATTCTTTCTTCTCAGTTCCATCTTTAGATATTCGGGGTGTCAAAATCTCAGGCTGTTCTTGTACCCCCGTTTCATAAACCACTCCATCACAAAAAACATCTATTTCTACCACACCAGCATCGCCTCTCAACAGAGACTCCAATACCTTCTTCCTTGAATGGAAACCCAAAAGACAACCTCTGGCAATCAAGTCAGCAGGCCGGTTTCCATTAGCATCGACAGAGTCAATATCAGCAGAAGCATCAAGCAAGAGCTTGACAATCTCAGGTGAACTAGAAGCACCACCAGAGGCAGCACAGTGCAACGCAGTAGCCCCATCAGAACCACAAGCCCTATTAACATCAACACGTCCAGTCTCAATAATATAACAAAGCACATCTTTGCTTCCATACATGGCAGCAACCATGAGGGGGGTTCTTTCTTCAAACCCCATCTTTCTAGACCCAGTTCTCCTACCATACCACAAACCAGGCTCATCAATATCAAGACCCTCTTCTTCGATAGCAATTTTAAAGCCAAGCAAATCATCAGAGGCCGTCAATTCAAGCAAAATTGAGAAATTATAACACAACCCGTCTTGTTTATGAGAATCAGTATCCATGATGAAACAAGTCTGTGTTGGTTTCCTTTTAGAACCGCTGCACATGGAAATCTTTTTCTTCTTCGAACTCTTCTTTCTGCAAAATCGTAAAACAGACAATATTCACAAATGGTGCTCCAAGAATCAGAAACATTTGGTTATTAACATGTCCTTGAAAGCCTATATTACATACAAAAAAAATTAAACAAACGAAAAAAGAAATAACAAGAACTGATAAACTAACAAACAAAGAGATGGACATGGAGATTACAATTAATCCAACCATTTAACACAAAATTTATATTAAACGAACTACCACTAAACTATGTTAACTTTAGCTAACCCATAAGCACATAATAAACTTATCCACAAATAAACACCAATAACCAGAACAGAAACCCGTTACAACCTTAACAAACATAACTACACAAACAACATCACACTCCCTTCTTATTTGGTTCTCACACACAAAACCAAAACTCAACTCAGAACTCCCACAGCTCTTTCTTCCTTCATTTCCAAATTTAGACCACCCATAATTTAAACCACCAAAACTACAAAAATAAAAAATAAAAAAACCCACAACTTAAAACTCAAAACATACCTTACAAAGAGAGCCTGAAGCAAAGCAAACCCAGATTTGTTTCTCTTCTTCAACTTCAAACTTTATTATAATTATTACTATTGTTATTATAATTTGAGTATTATTACCAATACAATTAACAACAATGCCTACCAAGCTATAGAGAAAGAGAAGAAGAAGTAAAGCTAGACTTTTGCTTCGTCTCCTTTTATGTGTTCTGGGTCAAAAAGGCCAGCCTACTGCACCTCTAAATTTTCCATTTTTATTTTATTTTATTTTATTTAAATATTATGGAGTTAAATTCAAATGTCTGTGTGAAATTCAAATGCAAATGCAAATGCAAATTCAAATGAAATGACGAAACCTCGGAGAATGTCTTTCCAAATTTTTATTTTTTTATTTATTTTTTTACTTCAAAGTGGTGGGTCCATTTCATTATATTAATATCTAAACCATCTTTGAGTGATGCAATGCCACGTGTCGAAAAACCCTATTGAAACGGTTTCACCAAAAGGTGACCGTATCGAGATTCCATGCTTTACGCGTTTTTGTCTTGGTTGATGACGTGGCCTTATTTAGCACCGTCAGCATGTTTTTAAAACTTAATTCGTTCCCTTGTTTTGCTATTCTCACTGCCTGTCTTTTAAGTCTACACGACACGTGAGTACGATTTCGGAGAAAACTATTAGCTGACAGCGTCTGATTGGTCTAGGACTGTTCTGGAAAGGTTTGTGTCAGTGAGAATAACTCTTCTAAATTAGAAATTGATTTATCGACGAATTTCTTGAATCCATCGAGCCATCAAGGGCACTTCGATGGCTTCTAGAAGAATACTTTTATTTTTTTTTCTTTTTAAATAACTTTGGTAAAATAAATATCTCTAATATTTATTTATTTAAAATTTGAATTATAATTAATTTAATTTAATTTATAAATGGAATCCTAATTAATTAATAAATATCCTATCAACTTCCTATATAAAAATATTGGATGACGATGAAAATTTTATAATAATTTAATTAATTAACAAATTAGAGGGAGGGTGGAATTTAAAATCTAGATAAAAGACAAGGACCAAACCGTAATTTGACTCTAAACGGATAAGCATACAGACCAATCACCAATATAAATATCATGCTTCAACGGTTGTACTCTGAGGCCCAGCCTTTTTAAATTTCCACAAATGGACACCTCAGCAGAGTGCAAATCCTGATTGTACACTTGACAATTCAAAATAGTCAAACAAATCCAACGGCTGAGGTCTCGTAGTACAATCTTTTGGCTAATATAGTGTGTGAATCCGTCGACATTGAGAAAAGTCAATGCATCGGGTCCCATCACACCACAAAAGCATTAAACGACAATGATGATATCACATCGAGTGGGGGCCCCTGAAAGCTAGGGGAAGGCATCTGATGTCTTTATCAGACGGTGGAGAAAAGCTGCACTGCATAGCAGTTGATGTTGTAGTGATAATTAACACCTTATGGGGCGATCAGTTTATGTTACGATTTTTATTATTAAATAATGTTGGAAATATGTGGAGCAACGGAGGCACAGGCACCGTATTTTTGTACATAATATATTTATTTTATTTAAAATGTGTTATTAAATTAAAATATCTTTTAATAAAAAACTCCTGAAATTTTCTTTGAAAATTAAGAATTTTTAGTGTTTCATTATAAACATGAACAATGATACGGTAATATTATCAGGTCGGTGTGACTTTTACTTTATTTAATATTTTATTTAAAGTGAAGAAAAAAAAGTCTCGAGCTTTCAGTTATTTTATATATTACTTTATACATGTTAACATACTTGATCCACCTATCTTGAGGTTCTAGGCTCAAAACATTTAAGTTATTTATTATATTGTAATTTATTTGATCTTTTAGGTTTATAAAATATTCAATAGATCCAAGAATTCATCGAGGTGTACATTTGAATACCCCAGTTATAAAAAATAATGATAATAATAACATAATTGAAAACATGTATACTTTAGTTTCACAAGAAAATACTATAAATAGATTTTTTTTAAATTATTCCATTCCTTTTACAATGATTTTAGGGAAATAACTAATCTGATATTGTAATTTATCAGATGACGTAAATAATAAAACAATGTAGTATAGTAAAATTTTATTAAAAATCTGACATCATAACACTTAAAATATAAATTTTCAATATTTATTTGTAAATGTAATATTGTCTATAAATCAAAGCTTCTTATGTTATCGTAAACCCAATTTCGGATAAAACCCTAAAAATTATCGGTGAATATAGAGATATCTTTGGAATAGTCATTACATTAAGGAATATTATTAAAACAATCATATTTAACCGGTTAAACTTACATTAGCCAATAAATTAAAGTTATCATAGAAAGAGCAAACGATTGTTCCCACCCAAGGTTTAGCGAAATAGCAAATTGTTGTGAGACAAAAAAAAAAAAAAAAAAAAAAATTGTTAATGAATAGCAAATCCTTGGACGACCCACCCATGAGTAGCACAACGGTAAGAACGAACCAAGACGGCATTGCATGGTTTCTTGAAATAGTGATTAGAGTTAGAATTTATTATAGAAATTAATACCATATAATCTTGGCCGAACGACTTACACATACCGAAGGTTTACCGTAACGACAAAGTGGTATCCAAAAGGTTTTGAAATGACAAATAGGTATCTTTTGTCATGCGCTGATAGTGATTTCCGTTTGGTAATGGTGAAAAGACTATAATGTCCTTGAAAGTTTGATATTTTAGTTTTTTATAAATTTAAAAATTTATAAAAGCCCCTAAAGTTTGCTAATTTAACTAAACACCCCAACATATAAATTTTTTGTAAAATAACAAAAACGCCTCCACCACCTGCAGTGCCAGATTTCAGCCACCACTGCCGGAATCTGGCCGGTAAATTGCGTTACGACACAGACCCGTCGGATCTATGTCGTAACACGTCGATTTGACTGGAAAAGGCCAGATCTACATCCAGATCTGGCCGTTGAGAGTTTTGCGGCCTTGACAGCCATATCTGGCCGTAAATCTGGCTTTTCCGACCAGATCCGGATCGACACGTTACGACACAGATCCGACGGATCTGTGTCGTAATGGAATTTTTCGGTCAGATTCCGACGGTGGTGGCCGAAATCTGGTACTGCAGGTGGTGGGGGTGTTTTTGTTATTTAACAAAATTTTTATATATTGGAGTGTTTAGTTAAATTAGCAAACCTAGGGGGTTTTTTAGAAATTTTTAAATTTACAAAAAACTAAAATATCAAACTTTCAAGGACATTCTAGTCTTTTCACTATTACCAAACAGAAATTACTAACAGCACATGACAGAAGGTATCTATTTGTTATTTCAAAATATTTTGAGTACCAATTTATCATTACCACAGATCTTAGGTATGTGTAAGTCGTTCGGTCTATAATCTTATATAATAAATTAAAGGGGATTTTGCGGGGAATGGAGACAAAGACAATACAGAAAAGGAGGAAGAAAGAGTGGACTTGACTTTAAAAACAAAATCCAATAAAAGAGAGGCAAAGTGGAGGTTTGCTTTGTAGATTTTTCCAAAGGAATTGGGTCATCACTACCAGAAAGTGTGAACACGTGCTTGACTCTCATTGCTAAATTACAAAAATACCCATCTCACTTTCAAATGTTCCTTCTCAATTTTTTATTGTTAAAAGGATATTAAAATCTTCGACCGTAGAATGAGTGTTTGGCTATAGAGAAAACATAATGAAAATTAAATAAATTATGGGGAAATTTTCTTAAAGAGTGAGCAAAAGTAAAAATTAGTTATACTTATATGTTAACACTGGGATAATTATATATTAATGTTTATATCAATCGAGACAGAAAGTTGAAATCTCTTTTAACTCTAAAAAATATACAAATCTTGATAATTTTTATCAATTTCATCGAATAATTTTTTTATGACAAAAATGCCCCCTTGATGGCATCTTTTTTGACAAAAGTGTCCATATCAATTAGTGAGATTTGTTGGTCTTCCACAATACCCCCTAAGTTGGGTTTTTATGCATATTTCTTCAAATAAAAAAACATTTTTGTACTATTAAGAATGTGTTTAATTTAACTTTAAAGTATTTAATGGAAATGAAGTAAAGTAATTTATAAGATAAAGAATATTTAAAATGCTTTTACAATTTGAAAACCACTCCTTTAAACTTTTTATTAAATATATATAATATGAAAACTACTTTTGAAAAAAGCACCCATTAAAAGTTCTTTAAAGGAACACTTAAAATATAAATTATTTTTAATCCCCAAAAAAGAAAAAAAGAAAAAAAAAAAAGCCCTTTTGTTTGTTTTAAATTAATGCTATTGAAGAATTAAACATTGAAATCATCTTTCAACATTAAAAACCCTTTTTCTAATTAAATCTTAAATGATTTGTTTATAAATAATAATAGAGTTCTAAAGTATATCTTTTACTATTATAATGCAAATGAATGGGCTTCTCTCATCTTGTGATTGCAAAATTACTCCAATCTGGGTTTGAACTGGACTATTTAATGGCCCAAGGCGTTGAGTATTTAGGTAGGAAAAATACTACGTTTTTACAACCTAATATCATGAACTTCTCTTACAGCCTTAACGTGTTAGCATATGTATACTATCACGTCAGCTCACACCACTCACTAAGACACCCAATACACTATTAGAAACGAACGGCATAAGGTATGACCATACGTTCATTAAGGAACAACGTAAGGAATGGCCATACCTTCATTAAGGAAACGACCATGCCATTTTGTAAGGAAAGAATGGTCGTTCCGTAAAGAGGAACGAACATTCCTTCAATAAAGAACGACCATTCAATATGAAAAAACGGTAAATTCTTAAATCTAGTAAAAATCATTTTGCATTTTGAGTATGATAGAGCTGACATAACCGTACCAACTCAACTATCACGTCAGGATTATAAGAGAAATTTGTGAGAATAAGTTGTGACTTGTGGACGTAACATTACTCTTTAACTAGAGGTCAGTTAATTGAAGGTTAACAAGAAGCAGTGAAGGGCAACATGTCAATAATTTTCCACAAAAAGGGAACATTATGCATATTCTTTAACAACAGCTAAACATAACACAACTATTATCCCAAAAAACTCAGGAGAATACACATAGCCAAACGAGGCTTTTTGGATGCTAGCTAAGATCTACATTGTACATTTTAATTACAAGAAGAAGAAGCATAGATGATACAGCCAGAATCAGTTACATGTTGATTTTTATGGGAAGGCAAATTTCAGAAGATTCCAGTTCAAAAGGACGACCGTCACAAACAGCTAGTTTCACAACAGACCCGGGTTTGGGATGATACATCTGCTGAAATTGGACAAAGTGTCTGCTCAGAACATCTTCAATCCAAAACTCTATTGCCATCTTCTTGTTTGATAACCACGTCGCTGCAAGTATTTCTATCATGACTTCATCATCAATCTCAAGGACTACCTCAGATCCCATTGCTCTCTGAAATCGTATATAGATGTCCCTGGTTAATTTCGCTGCAATCAAGTCAAAATTCAATGGCTTGAAATACACCTTTGCATCCACTTGATCACAGAAATCTTCCAACCAAGCTTCTGTGCTTTCAGAGATCGCATCACTGTCATAGTCTATAGAATTGATTTCCTCTTCTGCCTCCTCTATAGGAAGGTTAAGATCTAGATTGGATCTTATCGACTTGTGACTCCTTTCCTGCAACTCAGCCGAAGAGTCATCATTGTCAATAAACTTTCTTTTATTCCGAGATTCAGCTTTTGGAGTTTTTTTGCTTGGTGTTACATTCGCTTTCAGCTCATGAGGTCTGCTGACATCCTGGGAGTGCCAACTAATTGACAATTGCATTTGCCACTTTTTGGCTCCAAAAATTATTTCCTCAGAAAATCTACCAGCTTTCCTCTCTGAAAATTCATTATCGTTACCTTGCATGATTGTTGATGTTGTAACAAAGATCACTTTGCTGATGCTGACTACTCTCCTGAATGAGTCATGAAATTTACCTATTTTCACAGCCTCGGATAATGCATTTTGGGTCACAAGATCAGCCTTCTCCACGTTTTCGAGGAAGACAACTGAATCTGGTTTCTTTCTCAACTCCTCGGCAATATAATCAACATAGTGCCCCCGAAACTCCATATCACAACCATCCAATTGTTGGCATTGAAAAATATTTTCCTGACGGCTACCCCTATCTTGGGAACTAAAATCCATGCAAATTATGTTTTCCTGGTCACCAAATATTATCTCAGCAAGAGTTGAAGCAATTAGTTTCTTTCCAGCTCTGTCAGGCCCAAGGAAAGTAAACCAAATGTCTCCTCTACCACTTGAGCCATGATGCCGTCCATGTCCATTTCTACAACGTGATACAGCCTGAGTAATAGTAATTATGGCTTCATCTTGCCTTCCGACCTTTTCAGCAAGTATTTTCCTAAGTGTCTTGTCATCTCCGTCATGTGCTAGCTCTGCTAACTTAGATATGGAGCCGCCGGAGCACGAACCATGTTTGGCAAAATGTTGAGAGTTACCCTCACAAACTGCATCAAACTTAGGAGATTTGGGGGGAGAAAGACTCTGATATTTTAATTCTGGAGTTTCTGCCGCCTGCCTGATTGAAGCATAGATTGTTCCCAATCCCAAATCTGTGGTTACTGCAATTGGGGATGAAGAAGGTGGGTTGTGAGGAGGATTGGTTGGATTGGACGGAGGGTGAGGGGGAACTGGGTGGCCTTCATTCTCTATTTGCTGTTGCTGATCTTTTGAAAAGTTTACCTGAACCCTAGATTGGGAATTAACATTCGCAGCTTGAGAAGTTGATGCTATTGAAGTATTCGGTATTGTGGGTAAAACCTTTCGCAAATCTATTTGCATACTGAGATTTGGATTAGCACACAGATTTTCATTTGACGCAGGATCTTTACTGCTGCTTTCCTTCTTATCTGCAATAAATTGAAAGACCTCGGGAATTGGGACTTGGGACCTTGTTTCGGGAGTATCTAATTTGGGGAGTACTTGAGGGTGATGAAGACGACAAGTATCATTCCATTTCTTTTGCAGCTCCAAGACTTCAGCATGCAATGCCGTGCCATCTTCCTTGGCCTGCACTGAATGATGCGGCACATTCTTACATAAATATTTCACAAATCAATCAATGAAATACAGTAGATTTATCAAACATTAAGTTCATTAGTGCAAAGTATAGGTATAGACAATTGTTATCGTGAACAAGTGCATGTGCAATATTTCTACATTGGTCAAAGATTCCACAATTTGAAGGACCTCACACCTTGGCCATATCAACACCCTTTCTGGTGTCAAGTTCTGCCCTTTCTAACCAAGAAGGAAGTTTTTCTGAGCACCGATCTGCAACTGAAGTAATTGATCGTTCCTTCAAAATAGCTGCAACTTCATGTTCAAACTTCTCAGTGCAAAGGTAACAAGGGCTATGTTGATTCTTGCTTCTCATTGGATTTTTAGGGTCAAGTGGCAAAGAAAAGAACCCACCAAATGGAACAAAGGACCCCATCAAGCTGTAAGTATATCATGAGCATGGAACTGTGAGATCCAGTTGATTGAAACAGTCAGAAGCTACAGTGCACACACACAAATTTATGCATACATACAATATATAAAAATATTGTGGAAATGCACCAAAACCTAATAACATGTTAAGAACTGAATAGACACAGGTCCAAAAGAAGAATGATTAATATATGCATTGTCAGATGCAAACTGCACTTGTCACTACGGCGTTGGAAGCTCTTGCTACAGTATCCGACAGTACAAGTGTCAACTAGCATTTGCTACATTTCATGTTAACGGACGCCAATCAGCCAGCAAAGCACGTCTTCACATAGCAGCAAATGCTTTACATGTTTTGAGCCAAAGCATAAACCATGATGTATGCAGCATGTTTGCTTGGAATTAGAAATCCATTAAGGACAAGACATTAAAATATAATGAAAAGGGTTATTAAAAAAGAACACACCCAACACATTCAAAATAAAAATAAAAAAAATAAAAAAAAATTGACAAACCATTAAACAAAAGAAAACATATCAAAACTTGAGCTAAGGCAATGACAACTAATATTTATTAAAACTCACCTGGATTTGAAGTGAATAGGCAAAAGTTGCAGACCCCAGTCCTTCTCTATACTCGGAAACATGTTCGAAAACTTTGAATAAGCTTCATAATTCGCCGCCGCTCCTATCAACCATAAGTTCCTACTATTCATCTCCAACAAACTGGTCAATTTTGAAACAACAAACTTAACAGCCTCACTTGACACATTGTCACCAACCAAAGCTTTCAATTCACCAAAATTCACAACAACACCAGGCCCTGAACATTGCTCCACAGTAGTCTCCAATTCCTTAAACCTTGACGGCATCCTCTCTTCACTTCCATTCTCAAGGACAAACTCACTTATCTCCTCCTCAATACAAACCACATCCACCCCATATACTTCTTTAGGCAAAACCCCCGGTTTCCTAGAAGTTACATTTTTAATAAATCCCCTCAAAGCTTTACTTGCATAATCCCCAACAAGCAACGGGTTCTTCCCATTTTTCTCGTTTCTCTTCAGTAGAACTTCACCAATTCTCCTACAACTCTCGTCAACATCTTCAAAATCAAAAGGGAAGCTCGGCCCAGCTCGGACCGGATCCAGACCCAAACCCGAGTCAGTCAAATTACCAAGAAAAATTGGCGGGCACCGGGGAGTTCGCAGAATTTTGGAAGATAATTGAGCAACAGGCGGTTGAAGTATCGCTCTTTTTATTTCAAAGCTTTGGAACCCGGCTTCACCAAACACGCGATTCACAATAGGATCATCTAGAATCGATAAAACAAAATATTTTAGTTCAACCTTCAAAAGCGACGGCGTTTGTTGGTTACAGTGAATCTGTTGCAGGTGATAGTTCTCCGGATTCCTCCGCTGGCTCGCTTGTCCCCGTTTGATTGCCGCCGTCAGTGAATTCGAAATCGGAGGTCGCTCCACCGATTTCGAACTCTGCAGCCGGTCCAGCGAGACCCCGACACAGAGCTCCAGCGCGCGAAACTGCAAGCGCGAGTTGTACGGGATGCTCCTGGCACGTGCACAAGCGTCGCGTAGAATGGACGACGGTAGAGCTAGCAAAGCAGAGACCACATGAAGCGAAGTGGTCTGAGCATGACTCCTTCGACGCGCCACCACTACCGCCTCATCCAAAACACGCGCCGCTGCCTCCGTCAAGCATTGCCTCACCAAGTCCACCGGCGTCGGCATCGCCGGCCAGTTTAATAAGCCAACAAACACAGAAACAAACCAAACAAAGTAACACGTGTACTTAAAAAATATATATATATTTATATATATATAGAGAGAGAGATTTAAAAAAAAAAAAAAAAAGAGAATATGGGTTTACTTCAAAAACTTTTTAAAATATTAAATATAGAGAGAAAGAGAGAGATGTGTTGTTTGGTGCGGGTAATGGCTGAGAGCCTGAGACTGTTATTGTTGTTGTTGTTGTTGGATGTTTCTTTTTGTGGTGGGGTCAACTCTTGGGTTATTCATCGAACACATGGTGAGCACAGATTCTAATTCTCTCAAAAAGCGATTTTTTTTTTTTTAATTTAAATAAAAAATGTAAAAGACTCAAAAAAGAGGGATAGAGATGCCGTGTCCACTGAAAACAAGCAGTACCGTCACTATCTTTGAGTTTACTAGCTAAAGCTTATGATAAGGTGGTTGAAGAAGAAGAAGAAGAAGAAGACGAAGAACAAGTGTGTTTGTGTTTGTGATTATTAAGCTTAAGAATTCATCACGTAATTATATGCATTTTGAAGAAGAAGCTGCATATAATTTGCCATGGTTTGGGAATTAAAGTGAGTATTAATTACATTTGCATATAATTTGTGTCTCTTTTTTATCAAACTTTTTGGTGCATGTTCTTCCAATTATTTGATAAACATCAACACGAATTTATCTTTTTCGACAGTAAAAGTGTGTCTGTTATATAAAATACAAAATAAAACAAACAGTCTNCAGAATTCATCACGTAATTATATGCATTTTGAAGAAGAAGCTGCATATAATTTGCCATGGTTTGGGAATTAAAGTGAGTATTAATTACATTTGCATATAATTTGTGTCTTCTTTTTTTATCAAACTTTGTGGTTCATGTTCTTCCAATTATTTGATAAACATCAACACGAGTTTATCTTTTTCGACAGTGAAAGTGTGTATGTTATATAAAATACAAAATAAAACAAACAGTGTTACGAGAACGATGGTGTTGTTGAAGTTTTATAATTGTTTAAGGGTATTTTTATTTTAACAAAAGTTTGGTGGACGCACATGATATAATCCAAATAGTAATCTTACTACATTCACGAACAGTAATGCCAAATGTAAGAAGAAAAAAATATACAAAAAAGAAAATTTTTGGCAAAAAATGAATGGAAGGGTGAATATAAAAAGCCAAAATATTTACTTTGATTAATCTCTTGACACGTCACTTTATACCAGAAATCTTTATATAATTCTTTGTATATGTAGTATAACCCTTCCCGAAATAGTAAAGTTGTAATCTTAATTAAAGTGAATTAACAAAATAATCACAAGAGTAAACGACTATTTTTCCCACCTTTTTTATGCACAGACTTTTAAAATATCATTTTATTATCTAAATTTATGTTTTTTTATTCTGGTATCATTACGACCTAACATCATCACCATTTTCTTTATCGATCATCATTAATCAAAACTCCTCAAATTTTATTCTCACTGACCCGATCGATTATCGATAATCAAGTGATTAAGGTTTGTATAATCACTCTTTCTAAATCAAATTCTGATTCGATCTCAATCATCCAAATCTAATTTTTTTAATTAAAAGACTCGTTAACCTCTTTTTCTCAACAATCCCCATAAACCGGATGATTTAAGTTTGTTTTTTGTTTATGGTCGAAAAAGTATGTTAAATAGAAAACAGTTGTTAACTCATAATCACAATACTGTTAATAGCCGTACCGTATTAGCAAAAGTTAGGGATAGTGACATGTGTTAAACTGTAAATCCCTCTTAACGTCTCAAACAGGACCGACCCAAACACAGCCTTATTTATTTATTTATTAAAAAAATATTAATTAATACGCCTTTTCTTGTCAGGCCGCAGGCGCAGGCGCAGGCATGAAAAGTCCTTGTCTAAATCTGACAACTACTTGTCGCTCAGTTACCAGCCCTTCCTTCACAGGTGTCCGGCGCACTTTTGAAACCGAATGTAATTTGATGAGTCTTAAGTTAATACAAAGTAAGACTGGCTCAACTATGTCTCGATGGGTCACGCCCCATTTCCCAAGTCTCCCCGGCTCAAGGAAAAAGGTTCTCGATTGTTTTATTCTCATTGTTTGTTTCTTCCTCGACTTTATTATTTTTTTTTTTCTTAACCAAAGTTTACAATCAGTTTATATGCATTTTAATTAACTCTTGGGAGAAGTTTAAGACTAACGTATAAATCCATTGTCTCATGTTTTTTACTTAAATCTTAAAAGAAATTCAAATCTAAGACGGTGTACTTTAACCATATCTCTCAATATTTATTCAATCACTTTAGTATTTGTAACTCTATATGTATAATATTATGTCTAAAAAGTCACGTTTATATCAACTCAATAAATATCTTTTTGTACTAGCTACCAAGCCCATATCTCTTTAAATATATTCATACAAATCCTATCTCATTTCAAGAGATAAATGACGAAAGTCTTCCATGTGTCAAGGTAATTAACTCACAAAACACTCATTACATTGAATTCAAAGGTGTATAAATTGACACTTCTCTTTCCAAAAAGTGGGAATTGGACATATGAGAGCTAAACATAAATTTGAGTTCAATTCTTTCTCTCAGTAAACACTGTATTTCTTCATATTTGTATGCCTTACAGACAATATCATAGATATAGTCAGAGATCAATAAAATAACAGTGGATATAAGAGTTGCTTGTTTGAACATCCGAACCATTATAAAAACATTTCTTGTTAGCCTATTATTTATGTTTTCTGGAACATATATATTCTCAGCTCTATATTCAAATCTCATGATCCATCACGTGTAATTTTTAAGGCTCTCTTAATACTTTATATGTGCGAATTGTTAGTGTCTAAAATCAAGCATTAACACATAGTATTATTGTGTCGAAAAAAACATTATCCATCTAAATCTAAGCATTTATAAAAGATAATATTAAGCTGAGCGATAATCTTGTAAGACAACATATTGTCATGCATTATAAAATCGAGCAGGTGAAAATAAGTGCTTCTTCTAAACGATAAAATACTTTTCTCAAAAGCTTTCCATGAGTTGACATGTTTATATAAAACAAAAACACTTTTGCCAATACTTTTTTTATTTTTTCATAAAAAACCTGTTAAAAAAAAAAAAAAAAACCTATATATATATTTCAGCCACAAGTGGGTGGGTGGTTTAACTTTATATATTAAAAAAGATTGCAAGTGGTTCTGATATTTTGTAAAGAGTTTTGAATGAACTTTAGACCATATAAATATTATCATCGATTCTAAATAATATTACAAAATAAATAAATAAATAAAAACTTCAATTATTATCTAAGTGTATTATTAACAATATTCTCAAAACCCAATAAACTTTAAAGTTTACATGAGAGTAATGATTTTTTCTCACCAAAATAATGGTTTAATGATACTTTCTTACTCACAGACTTTTAAAATATCACTTTATTATTTAAATTTATACTTCGATAGCGAACAAAAAACAAACACAATCCAGTCTATTAGGGCTTTTGAAGTGGGGAGACTGATAAGTCTTTTGGTAGTGGAAGGTTGGAATTTGATGGTTGGGATTGATCGAAATTTGATTTGGGAATGGCGGCTGCGCAAACCCTAATCGTGCAATTGTCGGTGATTGGCAAGGTTGGCATGAGTAGGGTTTGAAGGGTTTTGGTGAGTGATGATCAGGAAGAGAATGGTGATGGTGTGAGGTTGCAACGATGTCGAAATTAGAAACGAAATATAAATTTGGATAGTAAAATAGTATTTTAAATGTCTGTAGGTGGAAAAATGTCATTAAGTCATTATTTGGATAGGAAAAAGTCTTTTACTCTTTATATGAACATTACATAATTAATTCAAAAAAAAAAAAATTAAACCTAATAATACAAAGTAAAATGTTGGATGTGACAATGGCTTAGTGAAAAAAAATAAAAAGAACCACCAATTGATGATCTTATAGTAAAAGAGCAAAAAATGATTTAATATAGTCTCTGAACTTCGAGTTCTCTTGATGATAAAAGAGTAAGACTCGGATCTAACATGGTCTCTCGAGTTAAAGTCTTCACGGTTGTCAATAGGGATGACTACTAGAGCTTTTATCTGACTAGTAATTTTAAGATCTTAAAAGATTAATTAAGGTCTGTGTAAATTGACCCAAATACCTTAATTATTAAAAAAAAAAAAAATCAAAAGTAAATTATAGTACCCATAAACCCACCAATTCTTTGACATATAACAAAAGTTGAAGCGTGGGTTACATCAATTTGTGGCGTAAAATCACCTTGAAAATCTTGCATAAAATAGCGAATCTATTGGTGTTGAAGATTTTAAGAGATTTGGCTTTATTCCAAGTTGTGACACTTCAACTCTTTGCTTAATTAGGGGTTAAGTTGAGCACGAATGAGTCACCCATGTCCCATTACAGGACCTTTCAACTCTAGTCGAGTCAGCTTTCTTAATTTAACCCATGTGGCTAATAAATACTTAAGAGATAATTATCATATATTCATTAAATTTTGAAGTTGACCCATTTGAGAATGAGGAATTCTCTCTCTTCTATAATGGAAATTTTGGATGGATAAGTATGGATTTCTGGGTCCAATTCCAGTTTCAATCTTTGCATCAATTTCATGATAGTGTTGTGTTGATGTGTTAGCCATAGCCATAGCCATTAACCATTAGCCATTTTGCCCTTACATGCTTCAATCTTTATCAAAGACCGTGGTCCAATTGGGTTTTGTTTCATATAATTGGTGGGACTGGGAGGTGTTGAGTGTTGACGGCAAAAAGAAACAGGTTTTGCTTAAATTGGAATTGTGAGATTACAATTTGAGACAAGTTTTTTTACTTGGAATAGTTAAGTTGTGTTGGCGTTTTGAGAAGAGCAGCAAAGACATACAGAATCTAGGAGATGTTTTTTTGGCCAGTTTTACGCCTCCAGGAGTCAAACCGTTCCGGCCCCTCTTAGAAACTATTAAATATCTCTTTTTTTTTTTTCTCGTTTCCTTGTGGTGGGATGGTAAGTCTTTTATCCTATGAGTCTTGTATTCGAGTCTTATAAGAGATAATAATGGGTTTATCTAAAAAAATCTATTTTTAGGTCTTTTTATTGATTTTTATATTATATATATATAGTTTTTTTTTTTTTGGGGGGGGGGGGGGGGGGGGGGGGGGGGGAATTTTATGGGGGTATTTAATACTTTGAGAACGTCGTTGGGACGTTTTACACTTAGTATCTTTTAGAGTGCAAATGAAATAAACCCTTCTTAAATTTAAAAAAATAGTAGGAATTTAGTTAAGAATTTGTGGCTCCGTTTGTTTTATTTTCAAAACATATCCCAAAATACTTGTTTGTTTAATTATTTGGGAATCTATTCTTTTTTTAATTACTTTTAGACCCCTTAAGTTTATTAACTTAATAACACCCCCAGAAAAAGGTTTAAAAATAACAAAAACAACCCCCCCCCATAGTTACTAGATTTGGCAACCATCTTCGGTGGTGGTCAGAATCTGTCACAATGCCTAAAAAATGACCGAAAGTGGCTGTTTTTTCATCGATCTGGCCTTTTGCGGTCGTCGACAGCCAAATTTGGTCGTAGATCTGGCATTTTCTGGCCAAATCTGTGGTGGTGGATCCGGCCGAAACCATAGTTACTAGATTCTGGCAACCATCTAGATTCTAGCAACCATCGTCGATGGTGGTCGAAATCTGTCACAATGGCCTAAAAAACGACCGAAACTAGCCGTTTATTCATCGATCTGCCTTTTGCGGTCGTCGACAGCCAATTGGTTCGTAGATCTGGCATTTTCCGCCAGATCTGTGTGGTGAATCTGGCCAAAAAATGCCAGATCGACACACCACCAACTAGATCTGACCGTCTGTGTCGTAACGGCATATTCCAACCAGATTCCGGCTGTGGTGGCCGAAATCTGGCACTGTGGTGGGTTGGGTGTTTTTGTCATTTTACAAAATTTTTATATATTGGGGTGTTTAGCTAAATTAGCAACCTAGGGGTATTTTCTTAAATTTTAAATTTTAACTGTAATACTCACTTCTTCAACAACCCAATATTATTCCCAAATCATATCCAAAATAAAAAAACAAATCATTTTTTTTTTTTTGTGTTTCGGGGGGGGGGGGGAGGGATATTTACTGGGCCTAAAGTGGTACCTTCAAAAAGTAGGGGTGGTTAGAAAAGAGCTACATTTACAGAGGTTAAATTATTATTTTTCTATATCGATTTTAAAAAATTGTGGGAGCCAAGGCCTAATAAAGCTCTTAATGAGGGTTTAACGTAAGTAAGTGGGTTGAGTCTGATATTGAAAAGAAATTAGTAAAGGTAATATTTTCTCTTTGAATTAATTGGACTAAGTGGTCCCTTCAAAAGTAGGGGTGGCTAGAAAGGGCTACATTTATAGAGTTTAAATTGTTATTTTTCTATATCGATTTTAAAAATTTTGTGGGAGCCAAGGCCTAATAAAGCTCTTAATGAGAGGTTTAACGTAAGTAGTGCGTTGAGTTTTACATTGAAAGAAATTAGTAAAAGAGTAATTATTTCTCTTTGAATTATTGGTCAAGTAATATGGTAAAATAATTATTATTTGACTTGACTTGTATCCTCAAATATAAGAAATTTTGTTGGTTGGAAGGGTAAAGAAAGAGACGTAATTAAGATTAAAAAACTTAAATAATTATTAATTACAGAGAAAGTAAAGACCAATTGGAGATGGGTTGACATTTGAAAGGCAAAAATAAAGTAAACTATTGTGCTCCTTATTATTAGTCACTACAAGAGAAGTTGATTGGATAGCTATAAAATATGTTTAAGTTAAATGGCAAACACAAGAGGATACATTATTGGTGGGAATTTCACAAAAATAATTCCAAAAACACATAATAAAAATTATCATGGTCTTAATCAAGATTAACAACTAATTTAATTATGACACCGTGCCAATATTTAAACAGCATGTAATTTAATTTACATTATCAAATAGAAAAGAATAAGTTGTTGTAACCCTAAAAGGTTGACATCAGTGGCAGATCCATAAATTTTTATTAGATGGACTAAAATAAAAACTAATTACACATTAATATTTTGTATGGTAGACCAATCCAAAACTATATATGTTAGTATTTTTTTAAATCATGGCCCACCCAAACTTGTTGAATCCGCCCCTGGTTGACATGATGGTCAAAGATATTTGTATCTTATTTGAGTTTCTGATTCAAACTTGGGATCATCTACGATAATAATATTTTAGCTTATTTGATTTTTTGTGTTTAAGAAATATTAATAACTGAGAAGATTAGTTGAAGTGCACGTGAATTGATCCGAACACTTGGTTTTTGAAAAAAAAAAAAAAAAAAAGTTGTGGTGGTTTGTGGCGTGGTCTCCATTACTGGCCACTGCGAGAGCAGATAATTGGACGGCTAGAATGTGGTTGAATTATTTATAATTTGACTCTGGGTTCCTTAGTCAAAATTCAGAATAATTGGGTGGACGGCAATCAAGAAATTTGTTTCAATAATTAATAATTAACTATAATATATAAGGCATTATTTAAGTGATGTAATATTTTATTATATTTTAGATATTTTTAAAAGCGGTGTTATTGACACCTCTCCTTTTTTATCTTAGTTGACTTAGATCTAATTTTACTTCATTAAAATTTTTAAATAAATAAATAAAAATATCTAAATATACCCTTTTGGTCATTTTTCCACATCAAATAGTATACTTTATCGATTATATATTCTTCATTATCTATATCAACCATATATCATATTTGTCTTTTACTTTGGTGTATTGAGTTTTAAATAATTTCCTCTTATTTGAAAAAAACTTTAGTAGTAATATTTCCTTGCTTTTCAATATGAAACATTGTAGGTATTTAAATTTCTTCCTTTCAATGAATATGTTTTCTAAGATTATAATACAAAATGCTTTAAATAGAACACAAAATCTTTGAAGCTTGGTAAGAATGACATACTCTTGAATTCGTCTAGTTTTTAAGTGTGAATCGATAGAAGAGTAAAAAAAAATTAGGGTTAAGATTTATGATTAAAAGACAAAATTTTGAGTTAAGGTTTGTGATTAGAAAGGAAAACTATATCATACTTAGTAGTTTTAATAAAGGACAAAGTTGTAATTAAGTTGAAAAGAATTAAATAGGGTCTATTACGGTAAATTGTGGAAGACCAAGTAACATCATTCTACTTACAAGCTCAATAGACCAGGTAAGTCACAAATATGGTAAGTGATGACTTGGTGAGCCTCGAACACAAGATCTCTGGATAATCTAAGGTTTTACCATCCGATCACAACCAATCGGTTTACCTGACCTAATTCAGTTTATAGCGTTAATTATTTTCTTAAAGAGTCAATGAAAGAATAATGGCTTGTGATAATTGGATTTGATGTGTAAAAACTAATAAAAGCAACTCACTAACCACCAAAGGTTAAAACATTACTTGTTTTTAATGAAGTGTTGTGACACCATTCTCACTTCAATTTATCGATAAATCAATGAATGGAACAATAAAAAATAATCATAAAGTTTGAAATAAAATACATAATATAATAGCTCAAGTTGGATATTATCTGTTTTGAATCTAATGCTCAAATCAACGAGATTAAAAAACTTATAAACGGATGTGACATATACGATAAAGAGAAAAAAAAATTGGAGGGTTTCTAGAAAGAACGACCCAAAAACCAGTGTTAGCTATTACTATCAAATTAAAAGACGAAATCTCTCACAATCTCTCTTGTAAGATTCTTTGTTGATGAAAATATTCAAACCTCCACTATAAGTGTTTTTGTCGCTTTGCCTTGAGGAATCTCTTTTTTATCTACTAGTAGCGATGGTTCCCTTTTGGGATTTTATTTGTATATATATACTTTGTCTATCATATCTTCCAAGATCTTATGAAAACTATGTTATAACTTTATCAGAAATACCAGAAATAAAAAAATAAGGTGTACTTAGAAATATGGTGGAGGCTATTTAGAGACATCGGTCTTTGGGCTCAATCAAGCCCAGTATTATAGTTTTTTCGTGGTCGGCCCATCTTCTACTTGGTTTCTTCTCTTCCGTCTTTCCTAAAAAACCCTAATTCTTCACTTTACGGTTCTGGATTTGAAATCGGTGACACTTCAGTCTTCAGGTAAAGCGTTTAACTTTTCTCGTTATTCAATTCTGTAATAAATGTATGTGTGAAGTTTTTTCTTCCCTTTTTAAGCAGAAATGAAGCTTGTTCGCTTAGCTTCTCGATTTGTTAACACTAACCTATCACATCAATGTTATCGATCCACTATCACCAGAGCACACTCTACAGACCCATTCGGGCCACTTCTAGGTACAATTTGTGTTGATTAATAGTTTGTTTTTCTGACTGTTTTGAAAGTTTAATATTAAAACCTTTTTAATTAGGCAATGATAACAATCGCACAAGCGAGTCTGCTGATGAGTTTGAGCGCCGGATATTCGGTGGTATATCGGCTAATAGTTCAGGTTCGGATTCTTTCTTCCGAAAGCTGGATAGAGCGGAGAAGGGTTGGACTAGGCCTGGTGGGTCCGGTAATTTTAATGGAGTGAATAATTCGTCGTTTATGGATGGTCTGGATGACAGTTTTGATACTCTGTCCGATGGAATGGATGGTAAGTTACAGAGAGCTGCGACGTATTTTGAGTTTGATCCTGAAGAGATCATGCAACCTGATTATACTTATAGGCCGGACGCCAGTTTTACTCCTGGAATGACTTATACACCTAAGGTATGTAACGTGGCGTATGACGTCCTTTGTGTTTTTGGTTTATTTGGTATTGCAGACTATTGTTTTTGTGAAATGTGTACTTTTTTTTTTTTTTTCCGAGCATGGAATGTCAAAACCTTCTTGTTTGTTCCCCTTTCTTATTTCTCGAGTTGACATATGGATGCTCTGTTATTTGATGCTATTAGTGTTGATGCTGAAAGAATTACCATGTTAAATAACTTTATAGAAGTTAAAGGAGGTTATCAGCTTCTTTGATGATTACATGGGAAACAAAATCTTAGAGTCGTCTTCTTGTTTGTGTTAATAGATATGAAGTAATATTGCGAAGCTACTACTTTTACTCACTCTCTCCTTAGATTTTAGAAAAAGGTGGTGAAAGTACCTTATACCAACTCTGTTTGGAAATTTCTCTTTTAAATGGGCGTTTGGTTCAGGGAATGTTGGATTACTGGAAAGTTAGATTACCTTGAAGATTATTGGGAATCTTTAAGAAAATGTGTTTGGTTAATTGGTGGGTATGTTATATTAATATGTTTGGTTGGGAGAAATAAATTAGTGGGTATGTTATTTAAATTACTGAATTGTCTTCTAATTAAATATTATTATTATATTATTTTTTAATATTGACTATTATTTGGATTCTTATAACTCCCCTGCATTTAAAAACTTAGCAAAAACAACTCCATAGTAAAAGTTTGTAAAATCAACAAAGCACCTCCACCAACCCAGCCACTGTCAGCCGCTGGTAGCCGGCAACCTAACGGTGCACAGAAGGTAGGAAATGACCTCCGTGCGTCGTATGGCCAGACGTGATAGATCTGGCCGTCGACGGCCAGATCGACGAATCTGGCCTTTGACGACCAGATCGATAACGGATTTGGCCATTTCCGGCTAGATATCTGGTCGGAAATGGCCATATCGGTGCACGACGGCCATTTTCGGCCTTCCGTGTGCCGTTTTGACTGCGACGGCAGCTGGCCGCGATGATGGTTGTCGGCGGTAGGAAATAGCAGGTGGGTAGGGGTGGTGGCTTGGGTGGGCTGCAATTTGTTTTGAATTCAAGAGTAATTTTGTCAAAAAAGTTAAGTAATTGGGGTGAAATAGTAAAAACAATATTTATGTAAATAAATTTAAATATAAGGGTATTATTGTCCTAAAATTTTATTAATAAGAGATAAAATTGTAACAAAAAAAAGATTACTCTAGTAATTTTAGAATACTTAAGAAAATAGAAGTAATCAGATTACTTTTAATATTATCAATAGTAATTACTATTGGTATTTGAAAATTATCGGAATTTTACATTGTTTGACAAGCAAACGTGGTAATCAAGTAATATAAGATGACATAACTTCAGTAATCCTATATTACCCCTAATCAAACGTCCCCTAAGTTTATTTTAGAACCTAATGATGCGGGAAAGTTTTGGTGTGAAATTAGTAAGTTTGAGCTCTTTCAACTCTCATGTAGACTTAATATCATTTTGTTGAGAGCAATAAGTGGCAGAAAATGATGTTTTCTTATCTGATGGTTTCAGAAGTTTGGTTGTGGAGACAAGCCAGAAAAGCAAGAAAATTAACCAGTCTTGAAGCTTTCATTGTCTGTGACTTCGGACTTAAAATAAAACCCCTTGCCAATCTCAAATGATTTTTTTAATTGGTGTAGGTGAATTGAGTATTGAATGTTTTTGACCGCAAAAGAACCAAAAAACTGTCATCATTAGGTTAGTATGTTTATCTGCTTAAAAATCAATTAGGCATGAAGAGAAAACAATGGTACACACGGAAAGTGGGTGGTTTTACAGAGTTATGGTCTCCGAAGTCACCTCAAAGATTAATTGGATAGTTAGTGCATGCACGTGCCACTCTCTTATGATTTTCATTTCTGTTTCTCCTCTATATTACTTCTGCAGTTATATATTTCAACAACCAATCCTATAAATATTATTTGAAAATTTTTATTTGTCTGGGCTACAATTTGAAATTGCCACATTGACTCTGTAAACTGTATTTTCGAATCACTAGTAGGTACAAATTGCTTAACCTACTTCTAAACTTCACCTGTATCGCTTCTGAGCCTATGATTTTTGTTTTTGTTCTTTATTCTTTTTTTCTTTGTTTGCCATTTCTAACCACCGTATGGCTTTGTGCAGGATCTTGATATTAGAAAGCCAGGAGTACGAAGATTCCCTGTAAGGCCTGAGTTTGAAACATCGACAAAGGAAGTTCTCAGAAAAGCTGATTTCAGGGTCAGTATATTTGTAATTTACTCTGTTCAAGTTATTTTTTTACATGAGCATTTGTCTATTCTGCAATTCGAAGATATCTACAAAACCTTGTTCATATGCGGGCTTTGACGTTTACTTTTGGTCCAATTGGATTTGTGTTTTTGCTCCAATGCTCTCTATATAGCTTGCTCATCTTTGTAACTTAATCAACAATAGTTTTCTTGCAACACTTTATTTACTTGTATATAAATATCATCATTATCTGTTATATCTGCTTGCTGAGGAACATAACCTTCTCTCTATGTGTTGTTATATGCAGAATGTCAGATTTCTTGCAAACTTTTTAACAGAAGCTGGAATCCTTATCAAGAGGAGTATGGTAATGTAGATTGAAAATTTATTGAAAGGAACCTGTTTTTGATTTTACGATCATCAGTTAACCTTTCTTTTAATTGCTTTTGTTGGTCATTGTGAAGACTGGCATCAGTGCCAAGGCTCAGAGGAAGGTTGCAAGGGAGATCAAAACAGCCCGAGCATTTGGACTAATGCCTTTCACAACAATGGGAAGAAAAGCATTTGTGTTTGGAAAAACAATGGAGGATCTTGATAAGGATTACGAATATGAGACTTATGAAAGTCCCGTGGATGTTGATGCAGATGAAAAAGACAGTTTTTGAGCACAGTATCTTGTCAATTTCTGTTGGGAATATAAATCTGACTTTGTAAAGAGTTTATCAAGGTTGTTTATTTGAATCCATGGACATTTCTTGCTTTAATAAGCCCAAGAAATGGCCTAGTTCTAAAGGTCGTCAGGAATTTTGATGCAATGGAATGAACTTGATCCTCGGTCCAGTTCTGGTGCAAAGCACAAGGTATTAACTTTGACAAAACTATTCTCCTAAGTTTTGATATATGGTTTTGGCTATTATATATCACTTTACAAGTCTTACGTCTTCTACGTTGATGGTGGATACATGGTTGGACTGTAGCAAAACTATATATTCTCATGATCGAATCATATGAAACAGTATTGACAATAAGTAAGCTTGGACTTTTGATAATTCATTTCTTTGACCTTTACATCTTATGATTAAGGTTGTTGAATGTTGTTAGATTAGGTGTATAGTAAAATACATGACTAAACAGGTTGCTGCATAATTCATAATTTCTGATAAACGGATTCAAACTCTTGTATACAAACTGATATGGTTTTTTATTGAATCATTCGGCGAATGTTTAGTGTCAGATGTGAAGATGGCATTATCAAAGTTGAGGAACTTATGACAAAGTTGGCAAGATGTGCAAGTTGGAAGCTTAATTAATAACAATTAGACTCTAATCTCTCTCTCATACATTAAGACTTACATTAACTAATTAATAAAAGCTTTCTATTCACCAAAATCAGGCCCTGAACATTGCCCCACAGTAGTCTCCAATTCCTTCACTTCCATTCTCAAGGACAAACTCATTTATCTGAGTTATCTCCTCCTCAATACAAACCACATCCACCCCATATACTTCTTTAGGCAAAACACCCAGCTTCCTAGAAGTTACATTTTCAATAAATCCCCTCAAAGCTTTACTTGCATAATCCCCAACAAGCAACGGGTTCTCCTACAACTCTCGTCAACATCTTCAAAACCAAAAGGGAAGCTCGGCCCAGCTTGGACCGGATCCAGACCCAAACCCGAGTCCGTTAAATTACCAAGAAAAATTGGCGACAGGCGGTTAAAGTATCGCTCTTTTTATTTCAAAGCTTCGGAACCCGGCTTCACAAAACACACGATTCACAATAGGATCATCTAGAATCGATGAAACAAAATATTTTAGTTCAACCTTCAAAAGCGACGGCGTTTGTTGGTTACACTGAATCTGTTGCAGGTGATAGTTCTTCGGATTCCTCTGCTGGCTCGCTTGTCCCCGTTTGATTGCCGCCGTCAGTGAGTTCGAAATCGGAGGTCACTTCATCGATTTCGAACTCCGTAGCCGATCCAGCGAGACCCCGACACAGAGCTCCAGCGCGCGAAACTGCAAGCGCGAGTTGTACGGGATGCTCCTGGCACGTGCACAAGCGTCGCGTAGAATGGACGACGGTAGAGCTAGCAAAGCAGAGCCACATGAAGCGAAGTGGTCTGAGCATGACTCCGTCGACGCGCCACCACCATCGCCTCATCCAAAACACGCGCCGCTGCCTCCGTCAAGCATTGCCTCACCAAGTCCACCGGCGTCGGCATCGCCGACCAGGTTATATAAGCCAACAAACACAAAAACAAACCAAACAAAGTAACACGTGTACTTAAAAAAAAATATATTTATATATATAGAAATAGATAGATACAAATAAAAACGTGTGTAGATTTTTTTTTAATAAAAAAGAGCACTGCTGTAGTTGTCGACGGGTGTGTATCGAATAACGTGACTAAATTTTGACCGTTTATTTATTATCAATTAATATTAATTAACGGTTAGGATTTTGTCATGTCATTTAGTGCATAAATTTAGTGTAAACTTTTTGATAACTCTATCATTTTTCATAAAAAAAGAAGGAAAGAAAGAGAAGATGTGATTACTTCAAAAACTTTTTAAAATATTAAATATGGAGAGAGAGAGAGATATTGTTGTGTTGTTTGGAGCAGGTAATGGCTAAGAGCCTGAGACTGTTATTATTATTGTTATTGTTGTTGTTGTTATTGTTATTGTTATTGTTATTGTTATTGTTGTTGTTGTTGGATGTTTGCTTATGTGGTGAGGTCAACTCTTAGGTTATTCATCGAACACATGGTGAGCATAAATTCTAATTCTATATATATATATTACTGATGCTTGATTTTAACAGCAACGATTACGTATGTGTAAAATGTTATAAAGTTACACGTGAAGTAATTATGAGTGTTTATGGTGCAGTGATGAATTTGTTTGTTAATATGTAAATAACAAGTTGACAAGAGATATTTTTAGAGTGATTCAGACGCTAGTCGCTACGAGCAAGTCTTACGTTCACAGTGATTGTATTAATGACTTTCTCTTTGATCGTTAATGAAACAAACAAGGAGAGCGATTACTCAAGGTTACAAGATTGTAGTGTTCTAAGAAAATGACAAAATAGTCTCTTTTTAGTGGTATGTCTTTGCTATTTTTTTTTTTTTTTTTGTAGGATAAGTGTGTATCTAACCTCCTCTATAAGGAGTAGAGCCGCCTATTTATACTCTTTTCATTTCAATGTAATGAGTTTTTACAAGTTGTCTCGATTTGGTGAAGATCTTCTTTCATCCTGATTTGTTGGGAGCTTTCATCCATATTCTTAAATTTAATGAAATTGCGGTAGTTGTCTACGCAAAATATCATTCTGAGTCGGTTTAAGGATCAAACATCTAATTTGTTTTTATCTTCAAGTGCTTGGTGAATCCTGGTTGGTGGAGACGTCTGCTGAGTTCTGATTGGTGGAGATGCATGCTGAGATCTGATTGGCGGTGAAATCAGTTGAGTCTTGATTGGTGGAGATGATATCGACATGTNTATTCCTTCACTTCCATTCTCAAGGACAAACTCATTTATCTGAGTTATCTCCTCCTCAATACAAACCACATCCACCCCATATACTTCTTTAGGCAAAACACCCAGCTTCCTAGAAGTTAACATTTTCAATAAATCCCCTCAAAGCTTTACTTGCATAATCCCCAACAAGCAACGGGTTCTCATACAACCCTCGTCAACATCTTCAAAACCAAAAGGGAAGCTCGGCCCAGCTTGGACCGGATCCAGACCCAAACCCGAGTCCGTTAAATTACCAAGAAAAATTGGCGACAGGCGGTTAAAGTATCGCTCTTTTTATTTCAAAGCTTCGGAACCCGGCTTCACCAAACACACGATTCACAATAGGATCATCTAGAATCGATAAAACAAAATATTTTAGTTCAACCTTCAAAAGCGACGGCGTTTGTTGGTTACAATGAATCTGTTGCAGGTGATAGTTCTACGGATTCCTCTGCTGGCTCGCTTGTCCCTGTTTGATTGCCGCCGTCAGTGAGTTCGAAATCGGAGGTCACTTCATCGATTTCGAACTCCGTAGCCGATCCAGCGAGACCCCGACACAGAGCTCCAGCGCGCGAAAATGCAAGCGCGAGTTGTACGGGATGCTCCTGGCACGTGCACAAGCGTCGCGTAGAATGGACGACGGTAGAGCTAGCAAAGCAGAGACCACATGAAGCGAAGTGGTCTGAGCATGACTCCGTCGATGCGCCACCACTATCGCCTCATCCAAAACATGCGCCGCTGCCTCCGTCAAGCATTGCCTCACCAAGTCCACCGGCGTCAGCATCGCCGACTAGGTTATATAAGCCAACAAACACAGAAACAAACCAAACAAAGTAACACGTGTACTTTAAAAAAATATATTTATATATATATAGATAGATAGATACAAATAAAAATGTGTGTAGATTTTTTTTTTTTTTTTTTTTTTTAATAAAAAAAAAAAGAAAGAAAGAAAGAGAAGATGGGATTACTTCAAAAACTTTTTAAAATATTAAATATGGAGAGATGTTGTTGTGTTGTTTGGTGCGGGTAATGGCCGAGAGCCTGAGACTGTTATTGTTATTGTTGTTGTTGTTATTGGATGTTTGCTTACGTGGTGAGGTCAACTCTGGGGTTATTCATCGAACACATGGTGAGCATAGATTCTAATTCTCTCAAATTCATCATATATATATATTATTGATGCTTGATTTTGATACCAACGATTACGTACGTGCAAAATGTTATAAAGTTACACGTGAAGTAATTATGAGTGTTTATGGTGCAATGATGAATTTGTTTGTTAATACGTAAATAACAAGTTGACAAGAGATATTTTTAAAGTGATTCAGATGCTAGTCGCTACGAGCAAGTCTTATGTCTACAGTTATTGTATTAATGACTTTCTCTTTGATCGTTAATGAAACAAACAAGGAGAACGATCACTCAAGGTTACAAGATTGTAGTGTTCTAAGAAAATGACAAACTAGTATCTTTTTAGTGATATGTCTTTGCTATTTTTGTTTTTGTAGAATAAGTGTGTATCTAACCTCCTCTTTGAGGAGTAGAGCCGCCTATTTATACTCTTTTCATTTCAATGTAATGAGTTTTTACAAGTTGTCTCGATTTGGTGAAGATCTTCCTTCATCCTGATTTGTTGGGAGCTTTCATCCATATTCTTAAATTTAATGAAATTGCGGTAGTTGTCTACGCAAAATATCCTTCTGAGTCGGTTTAAGGATCAAACATCTAATTTGTTTTTATCTTCTAATGCTTGGTGAATCCTGGTTGGTGGAGACGTCTGCTGAGTTCTGATTGGTGGAGATGCATGCTGAGATCTGATTGGCGGTGAAATCAGTTGAGTCTTGATTGGTGGAGATGATATCGACATGTCATTTCGGCATAGATATATATACTGACAACACGATTGGTTCCTAAGACATACACTAATAAAACTCCCACTTGCACTAGAGCCAATCGTTGTGGTATTTAATACCCATCTTCTCAAGATGATGATTCAACTGTTTTTGTGTCATTGTCTTAGTGAGTGGGTTAGTTACCTTATCCGCTAAAGGTGTTTTTTGCACCAAAATTTCTCCAGTTCCAACGAACTCTCCCAAAATGTGCTATTTACGTTGAATCTATTTTGATTTTTGGTGTGCTTTAGGTTCTTTTGCTTGTGCAATAGAACTATTATTGTCGCAGAACAAGGTTATCGGTTAACTCATGTTCGGAACCACATCTAGTTTAGTAACAAATTTGAGTATCTACACACCTTCTTTTGTTGCTTCTGAAGCGACAATATATTAAGTTTCTATAGTGGAGTCAGCAGTGGTTGA